AGTGACCCCCCGGCTGTACTGGTTTCTTGCCAGGTCAGGTGTGTGGTGCGTGCTTCAGTGCTGCTGCTGCTATGCTTCCTCCCTGCGTGCTCTGCTCCTGCTCCAGCTGCCCGTGCAGCTAAGAGCCCTGCACTTGTGGCTGAGGACAGGTTGCACACCTTGCTCTGGTTACATCCCCAGCCAAAGGGATTTGGAGGAATTCTTATGATGTGATGGGAGAAGCACCAGGTTCAGGACCTGAAACCAAAGGGTCTGGCAGAAGAGGGGAATGGTTTCCCTTGGGGAAGCCTGCAGTAGTTTTCAGTCTTTTCAGTGAGATTTTGTTTTGTGTCAGTAGGGATTTTGGGAAGGGACCCCAAGAGGCTGAACTCAAAAGGAAAAAAATGGTTGAAGTATGAACAGCCTGTCCATTGTTTTTTCTCATGCTGGAGCTGATGCCAGAGGACTTCAAATGATCCCCAGTGGCTTTGCTACCATTTTGTCCCTTTCCCATGGTAGCTTCTAGGGATGCCATGGACACATCCCAATGGAGGCTCCCTTCTTCCCTGCTGGGGAGGGGAGGGTTTATTCCTGGCCTCAGGGCCTGATGCTGTTTTTTAGGTAGGGAAGTGCTCATGCCAGCACTGGGGCTCCATCGCAGAGCATCCCTGCTCACTCCAAGCCTGGGGGGCACATAGCAAGCACAGCCTGCCCTGGACTGGCTCCGTGCTGCCCAGCACTCACGGGTCTGAGCATCAGCTCCTTCCTCCAGCTGCAAACATGAGATTTGTGTTACCCATTATCCAGCATGCTGGGACCAGAGATTAATTTTCCCTGCTTAACACTAATGCTCTAGCTACACTGACCCGCAGGGACTGTCCTCTGCTGCCCTCCTCTTCCCAGCATGCACCCGTGTGTCCGCTGGAGGGGAAAGTTTGAGCCAGCAGTGGGCTGCACCGAGTGCTGGAGCAGGGCCAGGCACAGCCTCACTGCGCAGAGCAGCTCCTGGCACTGCTCCTCGTGTCTGTGACCAGAGTCCTCAGCACAGGACTGAGCCATACCAGCTGCTTGGGGTGAAACAGCTGTCCGTCATGCTGGGCACTGCTTCCAACAGCTCCTGAGATCTGAGCACTGGGCAAGGAAGGACCCTTCTCCCCCAAGAGTAATTCTACTGCTTTGATACCATCTCCCTGTGCCCTCGAAGTGACCTGACTGCTGCCAGAAGCACACAGTGGTTGCATTTGTGTGTCCTGTTACTTTTTTTTCTGAAGGTTATCCTGCACTTCTGAACTACACATCCCTGTAGGGAGGACCCAGCAGTGCCCCTTACCATGCACAGCAGAACCCATAGCTTGCGGGGAGCTGTAGATCCCAACAGAACCTGCAGTGAGGGGAAGCTGGTGGGGGGACAGTTGAAGACATGTGTGCTCCATTCTGTGGCTGATCCTCACAGGCCTGCATCGCTCTCCTGATACCACGGTTTCCCTACTGGAGGCAGAGGGAGAGCTACCCTAGCCCCGGCACTTTAGTGTTTCTCATCCCCTCTGCCAACTGCGCAGAGACTCAAACACACTCCAGCTACCTTCCTAGGAGGCCCTCCCTCCCCAAATAAAGGGGCGTGGCGCCAGCAGGCCCCTCCCCCCTATATGAGGTTCGCTGCGGCGGGGATTGCCGCAGCCGCAGCTTCACACCGAGCTCCGCCGCACCGAGCAACCGGGACAGCCCGGGCCCGCAGCCGCAGCATGGTGAGTGCAGGCCGTGCACCGCGCACTGGGCACGGCGGAGGGAGGGAGCCCGGACAGCCGTCCCGGTAGCGGAGGGGGGAGGCATGGCAGAGCCGCTGCGACGCAGCCCTTGCTTACCCACCGTGACCTTGGGCAGCCCCACCGGCCCCTGCACGGGGGCTACGTGCCCCTGCCGGCCCCTCCCACCCGACAACCCGGGGGGCCCCGGTGTCCCCCAGCCGCCGCAGTGGGTTGCGTAGCGGGGGTGACCCCTTCGGTGGCGTCCGGTGCCCGACGGCCGCGGACGGACGGGGACAGCTGCCGGGGAGAGGGAAAGCACGGGCCGGGCACCGGGGGCGCGGGCAGGGTGCGCGGCGGAGCTCCCCCCCGCTGCAACGGGCCGCCCCGCCGGGGTTGCCAGAGTAGGGCGGCGGGTTCGCTCCGGTCCGACGGATTCCGGCCGCTCTCGCAGGGTGCGGGCAGCGGCGGTGCGGGCCGGGGCCGATGACCAAAGCGGGTGATGGGCTCAGCCGTCGGGCCCGGGGCTATATTTAGCGGCACGGTGCCCTTCGTGTCGCCGGGATGAGCCTGTCGCTGTCCCTCCCGGCAGCTGCAATCCTGGCGCACCCCCAGCCCTGCCCGCAGCGATGCTGCGCGGGGGCACCGTCCCAGGCAGGTTTTGCAGCGCAGGGCTGGCCCCTAGCCCTCAGCGATGCCCGATCTCTGATCCTGCCTCCCCCTCCGCAGCGTGAGTGCATCTCCGTCCACGTCGGCCAGGCCGGCGTCCAGATGGGCAACACCTGCTGGGAGCTGTACTGCCTGGAGCATGGCATCCAGCCTGACGGGCAGATGCCCAGCGACAAGACCATCGGTGGAGGGGATGACTCTTTCACCACCTTCTTCTGTGAGACCGGCGCCGGGAAGCACGTCCCGCGGGCCATCTTTGTGGACCTGGAGCCCACTGTGATCGGTGAGTGCTGAGCTTGGGGTGTGCAGTACGGGGTGCAGCCCCGGGGCGGGCAGCAAGCAACCGGTGCATGCATTCCTGCTTCCTGCACCAGGTGTAACCCCGAGAGAAACCACAAGCCTCCACACCAGCTGTTGTTACTGGAATGTCCTAGAGGCAGCGGTGCTGGTAGTCTCTGTATGTGCATGGAGAGAAACCAGCCCGACCGGCACTGCGGCTCTGGCTGTGTCACAGTGGCCAGGCAGCTCCCAGTGAGTGGGAGAAGCTGAGCTCCCGTGCAGGGAGGTGGCAGCAGACTCCGCTGGCAGAGAAACCTGGCACCTGCACGGCCCCACTGACGTACGGTCCTGGCAGGTGGAATGGGAGTAGAACGAGGGATGGGCACTTGGCTGCTTGGCAGCCAGCTCAAAGACTTCACCGCCCTCAACCTCCTTTGCTCTCTCCTAGATGAGGTGCGGGCTGGGATCTACCGGCAACTCTTCCACCCTGAGCAACTCATCACTGGCAAGGAAGATGCTGCCAACAACTATGCCCGTGGGCACTACACCATTGGCAAGGAGATCATTGACCAAGTGCTGGACAGGATCCGGAAGCTGGTGGGTAACCGCAAAATGGGATCGTATATCTCTGGCTGGGCTTGGTCGTAGTGCTGGGCTCAGAGCCTGACTGTGCCAAAAGAGGGATTTGCAGCTGTCCATGGCAGGGATGGAACAAATCCTGAAGGACTTCGAGAGTCAGATGTTGACAAGAATATCTGTTGCAGAGAAATCTCATATGTTTTTCTCTCTCTGCAGGCTGACCAGTGCACGGGTCTCCAAGGCTTCCTCGTTTTCCACAGTTTTGGAGGTGGCACTGGCTCAGGATTCACCTCCCTGCTGATGGAACGACTCTCCGTTGACTATGGCAAGAAGTCCAAGCTTGAGTTCTCCATCTACCCAGCCCCACAGGTTTCCACCGCCGTGGTGGAGCCCTACAACTCCATCCTCACCACCCACACGACCCTGGAGCACTCGGACTGTGCCTTCATGGTGGACAACGAGGCCATCTACGACATCTGCCGCAGGAACCTGGACATCGAGCGCCCAACCTACACCAACCTCAACCGCCTCATCAGCCAGATTGTCTCCTCCATTACTGCCTCTCTGAGGTTCGATGGGGCACTCAATGTTGACCTCACTGAGTTCCAGACCAACCTGGTGCCCTACCCTCGCATCCACTTCCCCCTGGCTACCTACGCCCCTGTCATCTCTGCAGAAAAAGCCTACCATGAGCAGCTGTCGGTGGCCGAGATCACCAACTCGTGCTTTGAGCCGGCCAACCAGATGGTGAAGTGCGACCCTCGGCACGGCAAGTACATGGCGTGCTGCCTGCTGTACCGCGGGGACGTGGTGCCCAAGGACGTCAACGCCGCCATCGCCACCATCAAGACCAAGCGCAGCATCCAGTTTGTGGACTGGTGCCCAACTGGTTTCAAGGTGGGCATCAACTACCAGCCGCCCACGGTGGTGCCGGGGGGAGACCTGGCCAAGGTGCAGCGCGCCGTCTGCATGCTGAGCAACACCACGGCCATCGCCGAGGCCTGGGCGCGCCTGGACCACAAGTTCGACCTGATGTACGCCAAGCGCGCCTTCGTGCACTGGTACGTGGGCGAGGGCATGGAGGAGGGGGAGTTCTCCGAGGCGCGGGAGGACATGGCCGCCCTGGAGAAGGATTACGAGGAGGTGGGCCTGGACTCCTACGAGGATGAAGAGGAGGGCGAGGAGTAGAGCGGCCGCCTGGCGGAGGACCGTGCTGCTTTTCCTGTGTCACCTGCAGAAACCCATTGCAATAAATCATTTGAGAACTTCCGTGTCTCCCAGTGACCCCCCGGCTGTACTGGTTTCTTGCCAGGTCAGGTGTGTGGTGCGTGCTTCAGTGCTACTGCTGCTGCTGCTATGCTTCCTCCCTGCGTGCTCTGCTCCTGCTCCAGCTTGCTTCCCACACAGGTAAGAGACCCTGGGACTGCAGTGCTCATCCCACACTGCTTGCCATCCAGGCAGGGTGGGTACCGCCGCCTCCTGTGAATAACCCTGCATCCTGCTTGGAGTCCTGAGGAGCAGATTCAGCCTGAGCAGGGAAAACTGTGGCTGCTGAAACATCTCCATGTGTGCAGCCAGTGGAGTAGGTGGGCTTGTCAGAAAGATGAGTGGTTGGAGTGTTGGGAAAAGCCCAGGGCATGTCCGAGCTCTGCAGTGCAGTGGGTGCACACTGAGGGCATCTGGCGTGGCATGAATCCCTGTGACTGTTTTACTACTGTGTTGTGGTGAGAGGATTAAAGGAGGGGAATGCTCCCTATGAAGCCACTTGGCTGCCTCTCTTTCTTTCCCTGCTGCGGGCAGCCCAACAGCTGTGTGTCTGCTGCACCCCTCCAGCTGCTGATGCTCATAGTGCCATCCCAAGGCTGTCTTTGTCCCCCTGCAGCAGAGCTGCTGCCCCTTTTACATCCAGGTGCTGGGCTCTGCCTGTGCCTTGCGCAGTGCATGCTGCGTGAGCCCCTTTCCTGCACTGCACTGCTCCCGAGAGCCTGCACAGCAGTGCTCTGCAGCAGGGCTTAGCTGTAACCACAGACGGATTTGTCACACTGGGGCCAGAGATTAACTTTCTCTGCTTAACGCTAATGCTGCAGCTGCATGCAGCCATGGAGCTGTCCTCCCCCACTATTCCCCTTCAGCAACGCCTGGCTGTGCCTGGCTGCTTGGCCCCGGCTGTGTGCCCCGCTCACCCCATGTCCAGGAGGACAGAGAACACCGTGCACACCTCTGCAAGAACACCTTTATTCAAAACACGAGGCAATGTGGGTACCAGGGCAGTGGGCGCTGAGCCCCGCCTGCCCCTGCCTTGCTCCAGCAGCACAAGCCCGGGCCCGGCTGCAGCCATACCCTGGGGCAGGAGATACCTGCCGCCCTGCGGGCTCAGAGCGGGCAGCGAGGCCTTGCCCTCAGCAGCAGGGCACACGTGCCAGTCCTGCAGCCTAGTGCTGGGCCGTGCTGGCCACAGCAGCCACACAGACACCAACAGCCGTGCAGGCCTCAGTGGCAGCATTCAGGGTACAAACCACTGCACCGCACACCTCCAAATGGCGAAGTCTGACTCCAAAACACCTCCAGCACGGAGCAGCTCTCCCCGGGGTGCAGAAATCCCCTCAGGAGCAGCCCTAGGGGGAAGCAGGCCCAGGGCAGCCCGATACAGCCTAGGCCAGCAATGGGCCACACTCAGATACTCGTGGTGACCTGGCCGGCTGGCATAGCCTGCAGCCCCTCCAGCTGCTGTAGGATGTCCTCGATGTTGGGCCGCTCCTGGGGGTTCACTGTCATCATGGAGGAGAGCAAGCGGTGCAAGGCAGCCGAGTACCTGTGGGGAGCGAGGGGTCAGCACAGCCCTGTCATGGGGAGCAGGGCCCACCCATCTCCAGAGCCTCACCTGGAAGTTGTGGGGATGGTGATGGGGTTCTGCACCGCCAGGGCCACGCTGTCACCCTTCTGAAAGATGGCATCGTAGGGGCCCTCCCCGAACATCATGCAGTATAGCACACAGCCTAGAGACTGCAGTGTAGCCATTAGAGTGGCCCCTTACCCCACAGTTTGGGGTGTGGGGGGTGGCTGTGTCCTCACCCAAATATCCGTGCGCTCATCAATGACGCACTGGCTGGGCACCGTGAAGAGCTCAGGGGCACGGTAGGAGATAGTGCAGCGCTGGGCAGCCCAGTCCTGCAGAGAGGCAGAGCGGACGCAGGGCTGGCGGCAGCGGGACAATCCCCTCCCCCCAGGATGGGCACCCACCTGCACAGCCATGGCCTCCCGAGAGTTGGTGACTTCCATGCGGGCCCGGTTCATGGAGCCCAGGTCCATCAGAATAGGCTGGTCATCCTCATCCAGCAGCACATTGGTGGGCTTGAGGTCCCTGCAGTGGGAGGGGGACATCACCAAGCGCCCTCTAGAAGCCTGCTGCCCTCACCTCTGGCCAAGGACCCCACCTGTGTGCGTAGCCCTTGCTGTGAATGGCCTGCAGCCCGCTGCAGATGCCGTGGAGGATAAGAAGGATGCGCTGCTCTGGCATGAAGCTTCCTTTCTCCCGCAGCGCTTCCACCTCGCTCCACAGGGTCCCCCCCTGGCAAAGACACACAGCTGGCGGTCACCGCGACCCTGCGTGGCATGGGGCCGAGGGCCACCCCCTCACCTTCACGTAGGGCAGGAGCAGCCAGGCCTCGTGCTTGGCACCCTTCTCCACCAGGCAGTGGGCCTCCAGGCGCAGAATGTTGGGGTGTTGGAAGAGGTTGTGCATCTCCACTTCGCGCAGGGCGGCCTGCCGGTCCTCCTTGTCGTGGCACAGGATGCGCTTCAGCGCGTAGAAGCGCCCGTCCCGCAGCCCCTCCACCAGGTCCACGTAGCTGAAGCCCCTGCGGGGGAGCAGAGCGCCGTGTGGGGATGGCAGCCGTGCCCAAACATCCCCTCCATACACGAGCACCTCTTCCAAATTCCTGACTATCCATCCCCTCCGTGCCCCGACCACCCCTTACGCCCCACCTTCTCCGCGCCCCAGGCATCCCACCCCGCGCCCCGTTATCCCCAGCCTCCCGTCCCGCCGCACCCCTCGGCCAGGCGCTGCAGCAGGAGGTACCGCGCACCCCCCAGGCTGACGGTGCCGCGGGAACAGACGCACAGCGCCTGCCCCATCGTCCGCGCGCGTCATCGCCCGCCGCCGCGCGTCACCGCCGCGTCACCCGCCGGCACCAAGGGGGCGGGGCGTCGCCGAAGTGGGCGTGGTCTGCACGTAGCGGGCGTGGTCTGGTGGGAGTGGGCGCGCCGTGCCGCGAGGGGCGGAATGCGGCGCCGCGGGGCGGTGCCGTTCGGACCGTGCCCTCATTATGAGGCCGCGGAGCTTCCGGCGGGATGCGGGTTTCTTCGCTCGTTCTGCGCTGTCCCCTCGGCCCCTGAGCCGCGGTCATGGGGCTGCCGGCCCTCGGGCTGCTGTTGGCGGCCGCGCTGCTGCGTACGGAGGTGGGTGCGGGAGGGCGGCGGGCTGGGGTCCCGTCCCGTCCCGTCCTCCTCGCCCCCCGTGGGCCCGCGCTGGGGCCGGGGAGGGTCTGCCGCCCTCAGCTCTGCCCCCGTCCCGCAGGCCGCTCTCCCGGCGCGCTCCTTCCAGATCGATTTCGAGCGGGACTGCTTCCGCAAGGACGGGGCCCCGTTCCGCTACGTGTCGGGCAGCGTGCACTACGCCCGCGTCCCGCGGCCCGCCTGGCGAGACCGCCTGCTGCGGCTCTACATGGCCGGGCTGAACGCCGTGCAGGTGTAAGTGAGCCCGGCGCTGTGTGCGGAGCTCAGACGTCCCGCAGCCTCGACTGCCTTTGGTTGCCATCCCCCTTCTCCCCCCAGCTACGTCCCCTGGAACTACCACGAGCCGCAGCCGGGAGTGTACGACTTCACCGGGGATCGGGACGTGGAAGCCTTCCTGGACCTGGCGGCGGAGCTGGGGCTGCTGGTGATCCTGCGCCCGGGGCCCTACATCTGTGCCGAGTGGGAGATGGTGAGCCCCGGCCCCGCACCGGGGCTGCCAGGTGTCCCGGCTGGCCCCGCGCTCGCTGATGATGCTCTCCACGTTCCTGCAGGGCGGGCTGCCTGCCTGGCTGCTGTGGAAAGCAGATATCATCCTGCGCTCCACTGACCCTGGTGAGCTCAGCACGTGGCTACGGCCATGGTGTCCCTTCAGGCTGGTGCCAGTCCACGCGTGCTGCTCAGCCCGGCCCCAAGCATGGCTTTTTCCTTTTGCTTCTCCCTCTTCTGGGAGCCTGTAGTTCCTCCTCTGCACCCCCAGTCCCCCTCATCACAGGGCCAGTGGCTGTGGGTTGGGGCTGAGTTGCCCCTGCCCCCAGCCTACCTGGCAGCTGTGGATGCCTGGCTCCATGTCCTCCTGCCCAAGGTTAAGCCACGGCTCTACCAGCATGGGGGGAACATCATCAGTGTGCAGGTGAGTGCTGTGGGACCCGTCATCGGGTGCCTGTCAGGACCTGGCTATATTCCACCTGGTGCCTGATTTGCAGGTGGAGAATGAATATGGGAGCTACTATGCCTGTGACCCCAGCTACCTGCAGCATCTGCTGGGCACCTTCCGGGCACTGCTGGGCCCTGAAGTGCTGCTCTTCACCACTGATGGTGCGCAGGTGGAGGAGCTGCGCTGTGGCACCCTGCAAGGGCTCTATGCCACTGTCGACTTTGGGCCAGGTGCCACTAAGAGGGAGGAGCAGATGAGATGGGGGCAGAGGTCCTGCCCCCCTTCTGCTCCGGCCTCACTTCTTTTCCCCTTGTAGACTCCAATGTGACAGAAGCATTTGGTGCCCAGCGCCACATTGAGCCGAGGGGACCACTGGTGAGGCATCATGTGAGAGGGTGGTGTGGGGTGTGTCACCCAGCTCCAGGCAGGTGACAGCCCCTGACTTCCCCCAGGTGAACTCTGAATACTACACGGGCTGGTTGGACTACTGGGGGGGCCCACATGCCAGCACCAGTGCCACACTGGTGGCTCAAGGACTCGCTGATATGCTGCAGCTGGGAGCCAATGTCAACATGCAAGTAGCCAACTTAGGGCATGACCTGGCCACCAGACCCCTCCTCTATTGGTTTTAGAGATGAGTGGGGGGCAGCAGGGTGGTCCAGGTCCATGTGGGTGCTGAATGCTCTCTGGGTTGCTACACAGGTACATGTTCCATGGGGGCACCAACTTTGCCTACTGGAGTGGTGAGTGGAGACTGGAGGAGGACATACAGGACTCTTGGCGTCAGGGAGCCTTTTCCAGGCTGCTTCTCTGTCCCAGGGGGGAGGTTGGATGCTGCACCCCAGCTTGTACTCCAGAGGACTCCTTTAATCCCTGAATAGCCCTGGGTCATGTTCCCTACAATTGCATTGCCTTCAGTGTAGAGCTGGTATCCAGGTGCTAGGCTCTCCCTGCAGCTCCCATCACTTCACTTGGCCAGGAGCTGACTTCAAGGGCCAGTACAAACCAGTGACCACCAGTTACGACTATGATGCACCACTCTCAGAGGCTGGAGACCCCACGGAGAAGCTGTTTGCCATCCGCACAGTCATCAGCAAGGTGCTGAGCCTGACAGGAGGAGGGGCAGTGCTGGGTTCTGCTGCTTGCCCTGGGAAGAGGGAGCAGAGAGGGGCTAGGCAGCATCACCTCTGCACTCATTCTAGGGGAAGCCTTAACCCTGTGGGGCACCTGACAGTCTGCTGTTCAGTTCCAGCCCCTGCCAGTGGGCCCGATGCCACCCCCCACCCCCAAGTATGCCTACGGTTGGGTGACTCTACACAAGGTGAATGTCCACCTCGAGGTCTGTTAGCTGTCCTGCCTGGCCTTGCCTGGCTGCCCAGCTCCCATCCCTGTCTTTGCAGTATGCTGATCTCCTGGACGTCTTGGATGTACTGTCCCCCTCTGGGCCCATCCAGAGCCAGTTCCCACTCATCTTTGAGACAGTAAAGCAGGTGGGTGCCCTGGAGCAGGAAGGTTACGGGAGGAGACATTCTAGAGTAGAAGAATGGGGCTCATCACTAGCCTTACTTCCCTTTCTGTGCTGCCTGACAGGCCCACGGCTTCATGCTGTACCGCACACAGCTGCCCCGTGACATCCTGGCCCCAGCCACACTGAGCGCTCCTCCCCATAGCATCTGTGATCGTGGCTATGTGATGCTGCAGAAGGTGAGAGAGCAAGGGTGCTTCCTGGGAGAGATGTGCTTGGGAGAGATGGGGATTGGGGCAGCACACTGACTGAGAGCCTCATTGAAGTCCTGAGGGCACTCTGCTGGCCCATTTGTGTCCCCTCTGGTGTGGAGAAGGCAGTGGGATGCTAAACTAGCAGGCTGCTAGCAGTGCTTGTGGTGAGACCAGAGCGTGGGACTGGGATGCAGTAGGGCAGCAGTGACCCTATGGCTGCAGGAATACCAGGGAACGCTGGAGCGGGACGGTCAGACAGAGCTGCGTGTGAAAGGCAAGGCAGGGGACACATTGGATGTGCTTCTGGAGAACATGGGCAGGATCAGCTTTGGGGCGAACTTCAGTGACTTCAAGGTGAGGAGAGAGGGCCTCAGGGCTGCTCCATGCAAATGGCGTGGGCACGTGTGGCCAAACACCCCCTCTTGCCCTCAGCCATGGTGACAACACCTCAAACCCTGCTACCTGGTTAATCCCCCCTTCTTACCCACACACCCACTGGTTTAGCCCTGGGCAGGTGGCAAACCCTTTGGGATAAAGCAGTGAGATTGGCATCCCCCTTTCCTGCTGCTGTGGCAGCCAAGGCCACGCAGCCTGTCTGAGGGGATCCCATCCCACATCCACTGTTAAGGGGGAGATGTGTGCTTGGGCTGTATGCTGCATCTTTCTGCCTAGAGCAGACCCTGCTTCCCCATTTTTCCTTTTGCTCCATTTCAGGGCTTGCTGGGGAACCTCTCTTTGGACTCCAGACTACTCAGAAAGTGGCTCATCTACCCCTTGGCCATAGATGCTGCCATCCAGCAGGGCTGGCCCCATGCTGCCTTGCCTAAATCAAGCTGCAGGGGCAGAGCAGGGCCAGCCTTCTACACAGGGACCTTTGAGACCCCCGGCATTGCCTGGGACACCTTTGTGAAATTCCCAGGTTGGAGCAAGGTAAGCCTGCACAGAGTTAGGAGACAGGATGAGGATGGAGAGCATGGCTCAGTCTCATCTCCATTTCCCAGGGCCAGCTGTGGATAAATGGCTTCAACCTGGGCCGGTACTGGCCCCATCAAGGACCCCAGCAAACCCTCTTTGTGCCTGGCTCGATACTGCGTGTTGGCTGCCCCAACAACATCACGGTGCTGGAGCTAGAGGGGGCACCCCCCAACCCCTTCCTGCTCTTCCTTGACCAACCCCTTTTCAACAGGACCTTCAACCATAGCCCCATGGACAAAGAATAAACACAGGTCTGCCAGGCACTGTCACTGCTTCTCACTGTGCCTGCAGGGATTGCAGGGGGCTGGTGAAGAACTGTAGGTCTGGTTGGTGCTTAGGAAAAAGGTACAGCCCAGCAGAGACAGCCAAAGTTGGCTGCTTTGGAGCCAGGCAGGGTCTGTACTAGGAAAGGAGCCCAGAATCAGCTTGTTTTCCATTAATACTTGAACTCATCCTGAATAGATTCATGCTTATACACCTGAAGGGGGTTGAAGGCACCTCTTTATTGACAATGCAGGCAGAAGAGGTAGTTATTAACATGATATGGCTGAGACTCAGTGGCTTCCAGGAGAGGAAAGGGCAAGATACAGGTGAGAAGGTACTTCCAGGCATGGGGGCTCAAGGCTGCAGGGTTTGTTCAGATCAGAATCTGTACTACCACCCCAAGCAGCAGCCTATAAGATACCCATCAGAAAAGCAGGCAGTAGGACTTCCTAGCTGGAACCAGACTACAGAGCAGACTTGGTCTTTTGCACTAACATGTGCAGACCTCGCTTGTTACTACTTTGAGTCACACTTATGCTGCAGCTGCCCAGTTTTGTGAAAACTGCTGCAGAGAGTGATATGACCAGCTCAGTCCCTCTTACCAGCACTGTTCTACAGACTCTCCATAGCTGCATAGCTAGTGCTCAGCCATGTCTCCACCACGTGGGTCCCTGGCTGATGATGGTAACCCCCAGCCTTATGTGTGGCTGGCCTGGGCCCGGCGGTGGGTTTGCAGGCAGGCTGTGGAGCAGAAGGAAAAATCAAGGTAATGGAATGGGATCCGGCCCAGCAGGGACTCTCCACAGTACCAGCAACGGCTGCAGGGAAAGAGCAGAAGTGGCCTTGAGTGAAGGGGATACTTTCAAGAGCGTTGGAGAAGAGAGAACAGGTACCCATAGTGGCCGAGTAGTGGCTGTGACATGAGGGAGCAGGTGCTCACACTAGCACAGGGCTAACCTAGCAGCCTCACCAGGGCACACCCCCTGGAGCTGATGCAGCATGGGAGTACCATAAGGTACCTCAAAGCAGGCTGAGCATGGGACTTTGGCCCCATCTGTGGTTGTTTAGCATCTCCCAGACTACCATGTGTAGATCTGGCTGCCCACAAGCTTGTGGGGTGGCATGGGGAAGGGACTGCAGTTGGGGTCAGAAAGTCACAGAAGAGGCTGGAGGCTTGGTTTGCCGCAGATCTGGCTGCAAGTGGACAAAGCTGTCTCAACAAAATGTTTCAAGGGGATGGATAAACTGCTGGGAGTAGAAAAGACAGGAATAGCTTTAGATAGGAAATGAGGACGAACAAGAAGGGAAGGGAACAGCTGTGCTGATGCAAGGAATTTATCTGCAATGATGAGTGCTGTATTATGCTAATAGTGAGGGACGGTCTCTGGTTGAAGGAAACACTTATGGCCAGCATTGGCAGCATTCTCCCTCCCTCTATCACCTCACAACAACCGTGTTATGTGGACTGTTACCTGATGTTGGAAAGAGCTGTGCTGCCATTTTTCATCTGTTCAGCCAGTCTCCGCTCAGCAGCTAGGGCCCTCTAGGGAGCAGAGAGTTAGATCAGCCCCCAAGGCTTGCTGAGCCAGAGCCCACTGCATCAACACTGGCCCAGCCAGGCTGGTGAAGCCTTACCTTCTCTCTATCAGACAGGGCTGCAAACTGCTGCTTCTCCTCTTCCTCCTGCTCCAAGCGCTGCCGTTCCTCCCGCTGTGCCTGCTCCCGCTGCTTCCGCTGGGCTTTCTGTGCCCGCTTTTTCTCCAGCTTTTTGGCTTCCATCTCTAGAGTTAGGGGGCCAGGTACCTGGGGTAGTAGGGGCAGGGGGCAGTCAGCATCTCCCTCAGAGTAAGGGGCAAAGGCATGAGAAGGTGAGAGCAGGATGCTGGGGTGTGGCTGAGGGCCACTTTGCTCAGGGTCCCCAGAAGGCAAGGGCAGAGGGCAGGCACCCACCTTGGCACGGCTGTAGTCGTACTTGTCTGGGTGGTCTACCATGAATTTGCGGAAGGCATTGCGTGTTGGTTTGTCAGCAGAGATGCAGTAAGGGGTCCTCTCCTGCCTGTCTCTGCAAGGTGAAAAGAGCAGCTCAACCTAATGGTATCACTGCTTCTCACTGGGCTGTGAGCCCAGTGACTCTTTGAAGATGTGTCCAATGGATGTATATCAGACAGGGTATTGGAGCCAAGGAGGGGAAGGTTGCGTACTCCCACACCACAGTCCCCCAAACCCTATCCTTGCATTTCAAAGGGTAATCTCACCCCAAACCTCTGAATTACCTAGAAATAAACCCAGCGGTCCTGACCAACCCCAGCTGCCCCAGGACAAGACTGGTATCAGCCTCACATAACTGCAACAGAGAGCTGCTGGACTCCCATAGCAGTGGCTGTCAACTGCTGGATGCCCTGTGACTATACCTGAGTGCAGGGTCAGCGCCTGCTTCCAGTAGCAGACACACAGCCTCAGCCCTCCCTGCACGTGCAGCCACATGAAGCAGGGTGAGGCCATGCTCATCCACAGGCTGGTTGAGCAGGGAGTGGGCCAGATCCAGAGTTTGTTCATCATCCCCATCCTTGCTGTCCCCCAGTGGGCCCCTGCTCTCTGGATCACACAGGAGGTGCCGCAGTGTCCCCACATCCCCTGTCTTGCAGGCTGTGAACAGGGCATCACGGAGCCGGGTCTGAGGGTCTCCTGTGAGAGAAGAACAAGAGGGGAAGTCTGATGCTACAGGGCCATCTGGCTGACTGGGAAACCAACATATTGCTGTTAAAGCATTGTCCTGCTAGTTGGATGTGGGTATGTAGCAGAAATGCTAAGTCACGGCCTTGAACCAATGATGGAGCACTTGGTGGGAAGGCAGGGCCAACCCAGGGAAGCTCAGCTGCATGCAATGCATTGAGTGACTGGAAGGGGTGGAGCCAGGATCCATCCCTTCCCAGACCTCATTTAAGGGTTGGCAGTGAAGGTGAAGGTATCTCTTGCTGGAGATCTCTACATACCCGAGGTCTTCCAAAGGTAAGCAGCTCTTTTCCTTCATTTCTGCATCCATGGCTACTGCATTTGGGCTTATTCTCATTTGCTGCAGCCAAAGACTTTGCCACCCCACTATTATTGCAGTACTTTCCATCCAATTATAGCATTATATGGGTACCAGCACCTTCAGCATCTGTGACAGTGTACTATAGTGTTGTTGACAGCATCTATTGAGATGAAACCTATCCCAACCTCATGCACCAGCCTGGCTTAGCCAGGTACTGTCTGCCTTACAGAACGGGATCTAGGGTAATGGAACTGGTGTCCCTGGATACCTTCCCCTCTCCCATGAGCAGGCCAGTTGCTGGCCTGCAGCATCTGCTGTCACAGCAGAGATCTCTGCTGCTCTCTAATCTCATCTATCCAGGTGGAAACACTATGGTTCAGTTACTGTTCTGCACATACTGGGTGCCTGAAGGCATGTGGCTACATTACAGCCACCCTGGTACTTAACTGCTCTAAGTACCCGCACAACAACCTGCTCTTCACTCCACTGCAAAGTACCCAGCACAAAGGGCAGGTGCTCACCTGGCCAGGCTCCTAACTCTGCTCACCTGCAGTCTCCCAGGAAACGGGCTCAGCCCCAGACTTCCACTGCAGCTCTGTAACCAGCTCCAGGCTGGGCTGCTCACCCTGGGTCCCACAGCATCCTGTCTCTTCAGCACAGAGCCCTGCAGTGGGAGCGAGTGGTGAGGAAGCCTAGCCAGCACCTCAGGCATGGCAGTCCCTTCCCCAGTACCTTCTCCCTCACCATTCTCTATCTTTTTATTCTTTTTCTTCCGCCTTTTGCGGTTTCGCTTGGGCATCACTTCAAACTCCCGGAGGTCCAAGGTCCCCACTGTCACTTCCACAGTTTCCAGTTCTCCTGCTGGACTCTCTTCCTCCTCCTCCTCCGGAGCTGATGAGGGTGAAAGGACAGGGGCTGAGACCTGATGCACAGCATGAATTATTTGGGGCTTTCAGGTAAGCACACCTTTCCCTTCTGCCCCACAGGAAGCCACTCTCCGCAGAGTCCTCGCTGCAGCACCCTGCCCTGTTACAGGGCTGTAAGTCTTAGCCCCAGGTAACACTTGACCACCTCCCCACATTGCTTTGAACCATGTCACCCTCCATGTTTGATTTTACCACCTGTATCTATCTGCAAGGAATCTGTCTCAGCTGCCCGCTGCTTCTTCTGCCAGACTTTCCGTGGGGATCCAGTGATGTCCTCCAGTGGGGTGTCCTTCCCTAGACATCAAGGGTGCCATTGCCAAGGGATGGAGAGCAGGAGAACCGCTAGATGTGCCCAGCACTCCAGGGTTACATGAGGGACCATGCCACCTCATCTGCACTGACCACAGGTGTTGGGGCACCAGGGCCAGGCCAACTCACCAAAGACCTGCAGGCTGGACAGCACAGCATGGACTCGCAGCACCTCCCTCAGGGTGGCCCTGCGTGTGCTGAGGGGGATGTGGCAGACACGGGGGTCTTCCCGGCTGAGGTGGGGGTTTCTGCTATCAAAGAGCAGCGCCCGATTGTGACGAGGGGCTCGGAGAAAGATGCGCTGAGCTTCCTTCAGGTGCTGTGCCCAAGCTGCCAACAGGTCCTGAATATCCTGGGGAAGAACAGAAGGCTCCATGGACTCCTGAACGCACAGTCTGGGCACCAGCAGCCCTGGAACAGGCAGATTCAAGACACGGCAGCCTCAATTGGGTCCTGACCCTGTTCTGGAGCTCACACTCCAACAGTGGCATGGCATCATCACACAGAGCTGGTTGTGACCATATTTCCCTACTGAAAACCCAAGCCTATGGTCCATTCTCACCTTGAGCAGTGCAGCTTCATTGTAACGCCGCAGGGAGGCTCCTGCTGATCTGGGTGCTGATCCTGGAGTCTGGGCATCCCGTAGGCTCTGGGCTGTGCCCCGCCGGGCTCGTACAGTGTAGCGGTGGAAGGTCTTGTGTTCCTGCACCTGGGAGCTACAGAGAAGGGAAGGGCCCATCCAACAGCTGGCCATGCTTGTCCCTACCCACAGAGACAACCTCAGCCTTGTGCCCTTGTACTCACCCACGGAACACAGCTCCTGCAAAGTGCCCACCGCCCATCATCAGTATAACCCAGCATGTGCTTGCACTGAGGCTCTGCAGTGAGGCTATCAGCTCTATGGACTCCTTGCAGCCACCCTGAGACACAAACGCTCCTGTTAGCATCTATGGGATCATCCCACTACTCCTTGCTGTCCACAAGACAAAGGCCACTCCCCCTGCTGGCATATGTACAGTCCTAGTCACACTGCTGGGGGCATCTCAGCTACAGCTTCTTCATTCCCCTCAAGGGGCCCCAGGGACTTTCAGACAGATGTCTGCACCCCGGTGCCACCCCTCTTCTCTGGGGCCCCATTTCCAACAAAGTGGACTGTGACTTGCCTTCCCAGTGCTCAGTATGCAGCGATAGGCAGAAATGAACTGTCCCCTTGCATTGCGGAACAGCACCTTGTGTGAGCGGGGATGCTGGGGGGTGGAAGGGCTGTTGCTGGCAGGAGAAGGCGATTCTGACTCACTGCTTGCATCAGAGCTCTCTGAATCAGACCCTGAGATGCTGGAAATATCACCTGCAGGGAAGAGAAAATGGGGCAATGAAGCAAGACAAAGATCAACAAACAACCTACCCGAAACTTTGCAGGGGGCTCCAGGGATCAGCCCACAGCCCTGATGTATCAGACAGATGAGAAAGACTGTGAACATTGCAGGCACCTGGAGGCTTCACTCCCAGGCAGAATAGCAAAGTCACTAGAAGTCTCTGGGCCCTGCTGAGGCAGCCCCATTCCTCACCTGCTCTGCTCTTCTCCTCAAATTCTTCCACCATCAGTACCCGGCGGCCTTGGAGTCGCTGCTTCAGGTTAAAGCGGTGCCAGTCAAGTCGGTAGTGCTCAGTCTGTGAAGGGAAGAAAAGTGAGCCAGTAGGGTCCTGGTGCTCCACAGAAGCCACGCCTATCAAAGACTCCACGGTGACAGACTCCAGCAGCCATACCAATTCTGGTGCTGCAGTGATCCTGAGAAGGAAATCACAGTACATCAGGGAGAGCCAGTTAACCATTAACCTAAACAGACCTGGGCCTGCACTGTGCTGGGCTGCATGTGCAGCTTGGCCTTCAGGCCTTTGTTGTGCCGCACAAATCTCATGGCTGCAGGATAAACTCAGCCAAGTCACTGGAAGAGAGCAGCCCACAGACAGCTTTCACTCAGTAGCAGCAATTACATCTCCTGCATGGCCTTGCCTTTGTCCAGATCTGCATCAAGAAGTTCTCATATGAACATCCTTACAATTTTACAATAAGATAAATGGATAGAGTTGCTCTCTTTAAAGAAAAAACTGTAACAACTTGAAGAACTACAATGGGAAAACCTTTGCAAGGACTGGATCCGTGCAGCCTGCTGCACCCTGACTGGAGACCCATCACACCATGTGACTCTCAGGACTACCAGCATTTAAAGAGATGTAAGAACATCTGCACTATCCTCTTTTTCTTGTAGTGTTGCCTCAAGTAAAAGATATACCACGTGATACTGTACAGAGTCTGAATGACTTTACCACAATCATGCAGAAACAGCACCTCCTGGTGCCAACAAAGCATTACCAAACAGGCTGGGCTACCCTCAAATGGCACAGTCCTGTCTGATCTGCCTGGATCAGACATGCAGGACTCCAAGGCCCTAGCAAAGCTGCCAGCAGCCGCTGTCACTGAGCAGCCTGGTGTGGGGCTGAATTCCCCAGCAGCACCCAGCAAGCCACAACAACCTGCTCACCTGCTCCTCCCGGCTGTGGAACTCTTGGCCGCAGGTTAAGCAGCACATCCGCTCCGGCACCTCGGGGACTGAGCCAGCCTTCTCCCCTCCGTGGGTGGCTGCAGGTTTCTCTGAAAGAAGAAGACAGGACTGTGCAGCACCACAAAGAGCGGGACCCCCTGGGTCTCCTCTCATCCCCACGCAGCCTGACCGCACAAGGCAGGAGACGGAGCCTCGGGGATCCTGTGTTGATGGCCGTAGGCCGAGGGGTGCCCACTCAGACGCTGCAGAGCAGCTCTGCTGCTCAGTACTCCCCGATCCCAGCCCGGCACGCAGCCCCTCCGCACTGCAAAGAACAACGCACCGTGCCCTGAAGGCGCTGGCTCGGCAGCAGAGGGAATCGCAGCGAACCCGCTGACGAGGGACAGCCCGTGCAGGAGAACGGGGTCCAGGGCAGCCTGGAAAACCGATCTGCTCTCGGGGGCCGGCATCGGCCCAGCTCACCCCCCCCTCCCCCTCCAGCCCGGGCCGCAGCCCCTTGGCAGATCCCCCGGGGCCCCCAGGCAGCACCGGAAGCGCAGGTCGCAGCGGGGCACTCGCAGCCAAGGCCGCTTCCGGCGCTCCTCCTACGGGTCGCCGCGAGGCTCATCCTGCCGCCCGCCCTCCCGCCCTCCGATCGGCCCGGCGCGGACCCGCCCCGCTATCGCCATTGGGCGGTGCGGCCGCCAGTCGCGCGGTGGGGCGGGGCCGGGCCCTGGGCTGGGGCCGGCGGCGGCGGGGCCCGGCCATGGCCCACCTGGAGACGCAGTACCAGCGGCTGGAGAGCTCCTCCACCGAGTCCCCGCCCGGCGGCGGCGATCTCCTTGTGCACGTCCCGGAGGGCGCTAAGTGTGAGCCCGGGGCCTGGGCGGCGGCGGGCCGGGAGAGGGCGGCAGGCTGGAGTGCGGCCCGCAGGCAGCGGCGGAGCGGGCTGGGGGCTGCGGGCGGCGGGCTGTGTGGAGCCGGGAGGGCCCCGTGCTCGGGTTATGCCTGGTTCTCACGCTGCCTCTCCTCCCTGCAGCTCCCTGGCACCACATAGAGAACCTAGACCTCTTCTTCTCTCGGATATCCTTTCACAGCCTATGCGGGGCCGGGGGGAGCTGTGTAGGTGGTGGAGAGGTTTGGCTGGGGGCCTGAGGGTGTCAGTGGGACAGCAGCCTCGCTGTCCTGTGTCAGAGGGAAGGAGTGTCCCGGCTGTTCTCCTTAACTGTAGCCTTCACGTCTATAATTTGCATCAGAAGAATGGCTTCACCTGCATGCTCATCGGAGAGATCTTTGAGCTCATGTAAGTGCACAGTGCTCCTGTGTTGGGGCTGCAGCAGCGCCTGGGGAACAGCTATGGGAGGCTACCAAGCTCCTGCAGTTGAGTGGGCTGGAGGTTTCCTGTTACAATCCTCTTGTCAACTCTTGATTAGAGTTTTCTGTACTCCAGACCTTCGTTTTTTTCTGTGGAACTGGTGCCCTTGAGCTTTCCCGCTGCCTGGCTGTGGGAATGTGTGACCCTGTGCTCCCACCTGCTTCACATTTGAAGGAGGCAGAAGGCTTCCCTCATTATTTCTCTCTTTCTTCACAGGCAGTTCATCTTTGTGGTGGCATTTACCACTTTTCTTATTAGCTGCGTTGATTATGATATCCTTTTTGCCAACAAAGCGGTAAATCACAGCCAGCATCCCAGTGAGCCCATTAAAGTGACTCTACCAGATGCTTTCCTGCCTCCAAATGTCTGCAGTGCAAGGTAGGGGCAGCCAAGGCACTGCCCGTGCTTTCTCAGGTGCTGGTAGCTCTTGCCCAGGACTCATCTCCCACTGCTACTGCCACCTTCTTTTTTGCAGAATCCAGGCAAACAGCTTCCTCATCTGCATCCTGGTGATAGCTGGGGTTTTCTGGATTCACAGACTTGTCAAATTTATCTACAACATTTGCTGCTATTGGGAGATTCACTCCTTCTACATCAATGCCCTCCGAATCCCCATGGTAAGTAGATGGGACAAGGACTACATGTGGTACAGGAGGTGGGAGGCGTTTGTTGTGCAGTGAGAAGTAGCTCATCTTCACTCCTCTCTGGAGCCAGCTTCTCTGAGAGACTTGCACTGAATGCTCAGTCCTCTGCTTCAGCTTCTCCCAGGCTATGTGACTGCATGGTTTTCTTTCCAGCTTCTTCTCCAGCAGCCAACTTGCTGCTTGTTACCCACTTTGCCCAGCCTGCCTCTCTCTGTGCTGGCACATGCATCTGCCATCTGCCGCTCCATATGTTTAGTCTTCTGTGGTGCCCTTTTCTGTGATGCTTTTCAACAGAGAAGGCATAAGTGAAGGTATTCTTGGACTTCCCTGGGAAGCAGACAGTATCAACTTCCTTGTTTACAGACTGGAAAAATGAGGGGTAGAGCTGCTTAGTTGTTGAAGATCACGTTGGTGATGAGTGTGGCAAAACTGGACTCTGAGGCTTGTGCATGCATCCTAGTCCAGAGACCTTGCTCTGATGGACAGCACCAAAGGGTGTTTGTGTGTATTTTGAGTAGAGGCTGTATCTTGAGAAAGATGGGATGAGCCAAAGGGTTTGCTTTATCCCCAGCTTTTCCATAGGCTGCCTCTGGGACTTTGATTATGTTCCCATCCCCTACTCCTGCCTCCCTGCTGATCCAAACAGCAGGACTGTGAGCTCTGGGAGGGAGGACCCATGCGAGACAGCACCTGTATTTGTGCCTCTAGTGCAACTGGTATGTGAGTGGGTGGGAAACAGCCACCTATGCTATTTGAGGGGCAAAGGGCACTGGCACATGATTTGGGGCTTGCTGGGATGACTCAGGCTGAAGCAGTGCAGGAAGAGGTGCCTGGTGCCGTGGTGTTGCTCGTGGCTCGTACACACCCTGAGGTGTGTGCTGGGTTCTGCTGTTGGAACAAGCTCAGCCCAGCCTCCATCCTTGGAGCCTGCCCCTAACCTCATTGCTTTCCCTTCCAGTCCAACCTGCCCTACTACACCTGGCAGGAGGTACAGGCCCGCATTGTGCAGATCCAGAAAGAGCACCAGATCTGTATCCACAAGAAGGAACTGACAGAGCTGGACATCTACCACCGCATCCTCCGCTTCAAGAACTACATGGTGGCCATGGTGAACAAGTCACTGCTGCCCATCCGCTTCCGCCTGCCCTTGCTGGGAGACACCGTCTTCTACACGCGTGGGCTCAAGTATAACTTTGAGCTCATCTTCTTCTGGGGGCCTGGCTCACTCTTCGAGAATGAGTGGAGTCTGAAGGCTGAATATAAGCGGGCTGGGAACCGCTTGGAGCTGGCTGAGAAGCTCAGCACTCGCATCCTTTGGATTGGCATCGCCAACTTCCTCCTCTGCCCTCTCATCCTCATCTGGCAGATCCTCTACGCCTTCTTCAGCTACACGGAGATCCTCAAGCGGGAACCGGGCAGCCTGGGTGCCCGCTGCTGGTCTCTGTACGGCCGCTGTTACCTCCGTCACTTCAACGAGCTAGACCATGAACTGCAGTCACGTCTCAGCAAAGGTTACAAGCCAGCTTCCAAGTATATGAACTGCTTCATCTCCCCTCTCCTCACTATTGTGGCCAAAAACGTGGCCTTCTTTGCTGGCTCCATCCTGGCAGTGCTCATTGCTCTCACCATCTATGATGAAGATGTGCTGGCGGTTGAACACGTCCTGACCACAGTCACCCTTCTCGGGGTGGGCATCACAGTGTGCAGGTGAGGAGATCCATGCTGGACAGGGCTGGATGCTGCTGGCAGTATGGCTGAGGAGCAGTGAGATTGATACCCTTCATTTGAGTGCATTCTTAGGTTAAAAGTGGAAATGAATCTGTGTGAGTGAAGGGCATGGCTGGGGCAAGTCAGGGCAGGGCAGGCAGGAGAGGGGGCTGGTGGTGAACTTGAACACAGTGGCTATGGTGATGGCTTCAGTGTTGATATAAGGGAAGTTGTTGGAGCCATACAACAACACCCCTGGGCTGGGCTGGCAGGAGGGTTTGGGTTGGAGTGAAGGCCACAGGTGAAGCTGTAATATGTGTCAGTCTCCCACCAACCCTGCATGAAATCTTCCAGGAATACTATGACGTTTCCCTGTCTTGCCCTGCAGGTCTTTCATCCCTGACCAGCACCTGGTGTTTTGCCCTGAGCAGCTGCTGCGAGTCATCCTGGCACACATCCACTACATGCCTGACCACTGGCAGGGCAATGCCCACCGCTATGAGACGAGGGATGAGTTTGCACAGCTCTTCCAGTACAAAGCGGTGAGCTTGGCTTGCAAGGGGCTGGGATGGAAACCCTCTCCCATCCCTGGTCTGGTACAGGAACAAGGTGGTTTTCTCAGAAGCACCCTGCCACAGAAGGTGGCCTAGAGCTATGGGTTGGCTTTGGGGCTGGCAAGTTTCTCGACATCCTCACTTTTGTGCTGAGCTTATCGTCTTTGTCCTCAGGTCTTCATCCTGGAGGAGCTTCTGAGTCCCATCATTACCCCCCTGATCCTCATCATCTGCCTGCGTCCCAAATCCTTGGACATCGTTGACTTTTTCCGCAACTTCACCGTGGAGGTGGTGGGGGTGGGTGACACCTGCTCCTTTGCCCAGATGGACGTGCGCCAGCATGGCCACCCAGCGGTAGGTCCCATGGGGCCTGTTTTCATACCAGGACTCTCCCAGGAGAGAAGAATTGGGATATTTGGAAATCTAGGAAATCTGACTGATGATAACTGATTTAAAAGCTGGGCTTTAGACCAGGAGAGAGGCAACCAAGGGGGGATGGGATATATATTCCCTTTTACAAAGTCTGCTCTGGAGAGAAAGAAAATTAGTCTGTTTCCTGTGCCTGGAAATTTATGTTACTTGTCAGGGAAGAATTTCTAGTGAACTAGGCCATGAACTAGTAAGAGATGGACTCACTGTGACAGGCAATTTACAAAAACAGCCATTTGTTGGCTATAGCTGCTTGTTGCTA